TTAGTCAGCTGTACACTTCTTTTGTTTTTCAGTGTGTTTGCAACAGTGCTCTGGGAAGCGGAGATGGGGGTCAATACATGGGTCCCTCTACAAGTCCATTCCATGTTTGGGTAACATCCCCTTCAATTACTGGTGCTTTGTCCACTTTTTCTTTGTCATTTTTCTGTGTCTCCTTTAATATCTTTCATTAGTATTTTGTAATTTTCAGTGCATGAACCTTTGATTAAGTTTATTCCTAAGTATTTTATTCTTTTTATGCTACTATAAATGAGATTGTTTTCTTAATTTCCTTTCATGATAGTTTATTGTGTATAGAAACACCATTGATATTTGTGTGTTGATTTTTGTGTTCTACATCTTTTACTGAATTTATTAGTTCTAATCATTTTTTTTTTTGTTGAGTCTTAAGGGTCTTCTGTGTACATCATCATGTAGATTTTATATATCACATCGATTTTGTAGATTATTGCTGCAAAAGATAATTTTACCTTTTACTTTCTGATTTTGATGCCTTTTATTTCCTTTTCTTATCTACTTGCTCTGTCTAGGGCTTCTAACACTGTGTTGAATAGAAGTAGGGAGAGTAGACATTCATGCCTTGTCCTGGATCTTAGAGAAAAGATTGATCATGATGTTAGCTGTGGGATTTTCATATATGCCCTCTATTATGGGATTTTTTTTTGGATATGATCCCAAAAGCACAGGCAATAAAAGCAAAAATAGACAAACGGGATTGTATCAAACTAAAAAACTTCTGTGCAGCAAAGGAGACAATAGAGTGAAGAGGCAACCTACAGAAGGGGAGAAAATACTTGCAAATGACCGGGCGCAGTGGCTCACGTCTGTAATCCCGGCACTTTGGGAGGCCGAGGCAGGCGGATCACGAGGTCAGGAGATCGAGACCATTCTGGCTAACACAGTGAAACCCCTCTCCACTAAAAATACAAAAAATTAGCCAGGTGTGGTGGTGGGGCCTGTAGTCCCAGCTACTCGGGAGGCTGAGGCAGGAGAATGGCGTGAACCCGGGAGGTGGAGCTTACAGTGAGCCGAGATTGTGCCACTGCACTCCAGCCTGGGCAACAGAGCGAAACTCCATCTCAAAAAAAAAAAAAAAAAAAAAAAAGTAACTATGCGAAATGATGGATATGGTAATAAATTGACTGTGGTGATTACTTCACAGTATATACATATAATATCATGTTGTGCACCTTAAGTATACTCAATTTTAAAAAAAGGTAGAATATAAATATATAATTTATCATCTTTACTATTTTAAAATGTACAGCTCAGTGGCAATAAATACTTTTTTTACACTCAATTTTTATTTGTTGGTTGTACCTCACTAAAGCTGAAAAACATATTTGAATAAATGTTAAAGAAATGTAAGTATACACAAACAAGAAAATAAGTATGTAGAAATTGCAATCTTTCCTGAAAATAAGCCAAAAGAATAAAACTCTTATCTAAATTCTTTGAAAAAAAATTAGCAGATGGAACATTTTCTTACATTTCTACAAATGTACTCAAAAATTTTATTTTAAATCAATTTTAATGGTTTATCTCCCATAAATTTCTTACATAGAAAGATTAATTTGTCCCAAGTCACATCTTGTAATATGTTTTGAGAGAATTTTCTGGTTTTGGCAAAAGGGGATCTGCAAATGTGACTGTGGGGCAGCCTCAGAAAAACATAGGAGGGGGAATTTCTTTTTAAAAGAGATCTCTGGCCACAGACAGTAAGTATTTTTAGTAAAAAATGTGGTTAGGCACTGATGGAATTTTTTTCTTTTTTTTTTTGAGATGGAGTCTTGCTCTGTTGCCCAGGCTGGAGTGCAGTGGCGCAATTTTGGCTCCCTGCAACCTCTGCCTCCCAGGTTCAAGTGATTCTCTTGCCTCAGGTTCCCGAACAGCTGAGACTACAGGCACGTGCCACCATGCCCAGCTAATTTTTTGTATTTTTAGTAGAGACAGGATTTCACACTGTTAGCCAGGATGGTCTTGATCTCCTGATCTCCTGATCTGCCTGCCTCAGCCTCTCAAAATGCTGGGATTACAGGCATGAGCCACGGCACCTGGTCTACTCACTGATGGAATTTTGTAAAGCAGGAAGGAAATAATTGTACCATATAATATTACAAAAATTTTTCTTTGGAATTTAACTTCTGGATAATTTTAATTTAGAAGGAATCTCATTAAATATTTTGTTAATGATTATTGGGCGGCTATCAGACATTATTTCTACTTTGCTTACTAATTTGAAGTTATCTGTGAGTTCTGTAACCTCAAAATTAAAAACTAGGGTGTGGTTATCTTTACTTGTACAATAGTGCAATTGTTGTGTGGAATAACAAAATTGCTTTATTCTCCAATTATGCTTAGCTTTATTTTACTTTGCAAACGATAGAAAAATTCTCTCTCTCTCTTTTTTTTTGAAACAGAGTCTCCCTCTCTTGCCCAGGCTGGAGTACAATGTCACAATCTCAGCTCCCTGCAACCTCCACCTCCCAGGCTTAAGCAATTCTCCTGCTTCAGCCTCTCCAGTAGCTGGAATTACAGGCACACACCAAGGTACCCAGCTAATTTTTGTATTTTTAGTAGGGACAGGGTTTCGCCATGTTGGCCAGGCTGGTCTCAAATTCACCTGTCTCGGCCTTCCAAAGTGCTGGGATTATAGGCATGAGTCATCGTGCCTGGCCTGATTTAAAAATGCTAATGGAGCAGGCACGGTCCCAGCACTTTGGGAGGCCGAGGCAGACAGATCACGAGGTCAGGAGATCAAGACCATCTTGGTCAACATGATGAAACCCTGTGTCTATTAAAAATAGAAAAATTAGCTGGGCACGGTGGCGCTTGCCTGTAATCCCAGCTGCTAGGGAGGCTGAGGCAGGAGAATAGTTTGAACCAGCGAGTCGGAGGTTGCAATGAGCTGAGATCGTGCCACTGCACTGCATCCTGGGCAACACAGCAAGACAGCAAGACTCCGTCTCAGGAAAAAACAAAACAAAACAAAACAAAAATTCCAATGAATACAGTTACTTGTAGTATTGATGTCTGGCATAGGTCATTCCAATCTTTTTACTATGTGTTATGGTTTTCATAGGTTAGCATATATTCTCATGAATATTTATCTTTGTTTACTGTTGATAATTTTATTGTGAAACCAATTTTGGATTTACATAGCGATTTATAGATAGATTTACGTAGCAACTCATAGCTTTGAATGTATTTGTAGAAAAGAAAGAGTATTGAAAATAAATGTAGACAAGGAAACTTTTTATCTTTTTTTAACCTCAGAATTTAGAAATGATAATAAGATGAAACTAGGTTTGGACCTTTTTCAATAATTCTGACCACCGTTCTGCAAATTCACTCTATAAGAAAAGTAGAGGTTTGGGGCTGAGTTTTGTTTTATTTTTTTTCCCAAAGACTTCTATCTCTGATATCTTAGGGTCTGGGAATTGTTTTTGGTCATAGGGCTCTGAATAAATGTCAGTTGAACAAATGTATAAAAACCAAACAAAGGAATGGTACTTCAATTGCCTTCAGGGTGTCACAACAAACACCAATGAAAAAGAAACAAAAATAAAGACTCAATACAGTAATTAATTCTCCAGTGAACACTTCAGTCCTCTAAGACTACTTCCCTGTGTCCACCAAAACTGCTTTCTAAGCAAACACAAGCAAGGGAACGCCAATGCTCTCAGGCCATGAACTAATGAGACGCTTCATGCTTGTTCTCAGTCTTTCTTCATACCCAGGGCAAAACTGGCCCACAGACTTCCAGATATGCTCTCTTTATCTGGGTAGGGATGGGGATCCAAGTCCCCTGTGTATTTCTTCCAGACCACTTGTAAAACATGGGTGAAATCTACCTGCCCTTTAGCTCACCACTTCCAGGTCAAGCCCACTCATGGACCACTTTAACAGTGACGGTTGGCTTGACTGGGGAAACTGAGCAAAAGGGAGCTTTCTTTAGATTATCTGATAATCTGCATTGCCATTGCTGCTCCTTTTTCAGCAGCACGGAGAGTTGGGTTATGGAGGGTTGCATGCGAATTATGCAGCTACATCCAGGATGCCGAGTGTCTTCTGATCATGATCAAGAGCAGAGTGAAGAGACACAGGCAGAGGAGAGGATCTCAGAAAGGTAGAAGTGGGAGACTGGTGGATAGGCACCACCAAGTGACTACCATCACCTCTCACAGATTAGATTATTGACAACCCAAGTATGGATTTGATTTCTCCAAGGTGAAAAGCTACTCAATTTTCTAGCCAGACCACAGATTTGTTTTAAGCCAGGACCCGTTTTCCAGCAGTTAGTGCCATTAGGGAGGTTGGGAGGATGTAGACAAGAGCAGGGAGAAAATTTGGAGCCATACAGTGGGAGAGACAGAGGGGAAATGAAGAACCCCGTGGGAGGCTGTGGCAAAGGGAGGCAGTGGGGCTTCTCTGACAGGGAAGTCGGCAGAGGGAGAGGTTTTTCTGTCTGTGCAGTAAGGGAAGTCAGATGAGAGTACAAGAGAGCGTGGAGAGGGGTACTGATGTCTGAATTCTGAGGGCAGGTGTCCTGCCAAGGGATCCGTGCTTTAACAGAGCTTCAATGCTGCTCCTGTTCCTCCTCTTCGAGGGACTCTGCTGTCCTGGGGAAAATACAGCAGGTAAGAAGAGTGCAGGTGGAAAGTTACCTATGGTAGGGCACCAGAGGACGGAGAAGAAGTTCTGGGGAGGTCCTGGGGGAAGGGAGCAGTACTCCTCTAGGATGCCCTTGGAGTATGACTTTCAGGCTAGTTCCAGGCAGAGAATTCTTGCCCTCAGTCTCAGTTTTTGTCTCTGATTTTGGGGAAAGGAAGCTGGCCCCAGAGGAAAAGCGTACGTGCAAATTGCCTAACTATCTCTCATCTCTAAGTTCCTTTTTTTTCCTTTGGCATCACTTTTCCCATTCCTTTACAATCTCTCTACTTGTCATTTCCCTCTCTCTCAGTTCCCCAGGCTCTACAATCCTACCGTCCAGCAGCAGAAGACCCCCTGTCCTTCCGCATGCTCCAAATTTCCTCCTTTGCCAACCACAGCTGGGCACACAGTGAGGGCTCGGGATGGCTGGGTGACCTGCAGACTCATGGCTGGGACACTGTCACGGGCACCATCCGCTTTCTGAAGCCCTGGTCCCATGGAAACTTCAGCAAGCAGGAGCTGAAAAACTTACAGTCACTGTTCCAGTTATACTTAAGTGGTTTTGTCCGGATAGTGCAAGCTTCTGCTGGTCAATTTCACCTTGAATGTAAGTTTGTCGCTCTAAGCTGATAATTTGCCTGGGAACATCAACTATTTTCCAAAGTGGAGGTGGTATATAGACTCTGACCATCATTTAACCTTACTAACTTTGTTCCCCACTCTCTGGCTCCCACTCCCTCCTCTGCTTCACCCTTCACCACCACCCTCACTCCACCATATACACAAAAGGGCTTGCGTGTACATATCTCAACATGAATACACCTTTGTGTCTGGCTCTTTGGAATGACTGTCTCCTCTGGATCTTCTGCCCCTCATTCCTGCCCTCAGACTCAGCCTTTCTCACCCCGCTTTCTACCCTTCTTTATCTTTTGCCTGAGTGTTGACCTGGACTGGCCTGTACCTAACCACTTTCACGTGAATTATTTGTGACCAATCTCCTATCTTCCTGATAGCCTTCCCATCTACCACTTTCCCATTAGTTATTTCAAAGAATCTTTATTAGCTTCACATTTTCTTCCCACAAATTTTCTTCCCCTTTGCCACTAAACTCTAGTCTCCATATGATTTCCCAGCAAATTTTTCTTCCCTTGAATCTCTTTACTCTCTAAATTGTTTGTTTTTCTTCCTTGTCATTCTTTCCATATTGATCTCTCGTCCTTGTCTACTCTCAGATCCCTTCGAGATCCAGATATTAGCTGGCTGTAGAATGAATGCCCCACAAATCTTCTTAAATGTGGCATATCAAGGATCAGATTTCCTGAGTTTCCAAGGAATTTCCTGGGAGCCATCTCCAGGAGCAGGGATCAGGGCCCAGAACGTCTGTAAAGTGCTCAATCGCTACCTAGATATTAAGGAAATACTGCAAAGCCTTCTTGGTCACACCTGTCCTCGATTTCTTGCGGGGCTCATGGAAGCAGGGGAGTCAGAACTGAAACGAAAAGGTGAGCCCAACTCTCTCTCTCCCCTCTTGTTCCTAGTACTGTAATTCTCCTATTTGAATTTACCTCTCATCATCATTTTGAAAGACAATGTGAGAGACTAGAGAATGAGACATGTGGGTTTAGGACTGTTTCTTAGAAAAGAGAAAGAAGTGATTATTAAATCACTCTTAGTATTACTACTTAGGCACATAAGTGCCTGAGCTCTGGCCTGGGGTGCCCCTCAAAATTCCATTTTTTTCTTATCTTCTTCTGTCTAGTGAAGCCAGAAGCCTGGCTGTCCCGTGGCCCCAGTCCTGGCCCTGGCCGTCTGCAGCTTGTGTGCCATGTCTCAGGATTCTACCCAAAGCCCGTGTGGGTGATGTGGATGCGGGGTGAACAGGAGCAGCGGGGCACTCAGCGAGGGGATATCCTGCCTAATGCTGACGAGACATGGTATCTCCAAGCAACCCTGGATGTGGCAGCTGGGGAGGCAGCTGGCCTGTCCTGTCGGGTGAAACACAGCAGTATAGAGGGCCATGATCTAATCATCCATTGGGGTGAGAAAGAGCTGAGGCTCTGCTGGGAAATAATGAAAATAGCCCTGGGGCTTTTGAGGATGGGGGCTGAGGAAATGGGTAGGAACGCTAGGCACAAGAAGGGTAAAACTGGGACAATGAAAATAAAGAAGAATAGAGTATGACAGTAGTTAAATTTTAAGAAAATGGAAGTAGGGAATTAGACATACTAACAAAAAAAGGAGGAGGAACTAGTGATTTAGTGGGAGAGCGCTGGGAGGAGATCACAGACAAAGGATCAGGAGGAATTGAAATGAGGGCTCTGGAAAACACAGATAAAACTCTAGGAAGATACCACCCTTGCAAAATGGGAAATCTCAGCTTGGTGGAATAGAGTATTTTAGGGATGATATTCTTATTCTATCCCCAACCAGGTGGATATTCCATGTTTCTCATCCTGATCTGTTTAACTGTGATAGTTAACCTGGTCATATTGGTTGTAGTTGACTCACGGTTAAAAAAACAGAGGTGAGCCTTTTCTTGTTCTTTGTTTCTTCAACCTGTAATCAACTCATTCTTTTTTTCCTCTATCTTCTTTTTTTCTCTCTGCTTTCCCTCTTTATTTCCTTTTTTTGAGATTAATATCCTCCTCTTTTCCCACAGTTCAAATAAGAACGTTCTTTCTCCCCGTGCACCTAGCCCTGTGTTTCCCATGGGAGCTAACACCCAGGACACCAATAATCCAAGACATCACTTCTGCTTGGCACAAGTATCGTGGATCAAAAACAGATTCTTGAAGTGGAAGACACGCCGAAACCAACTCTCGTGACATTTGCTTTACCTTATACATAAAATCTTTGTCTGCATCTTCTGAAACACCATCCAGGTCCCATAAGGGAAGCATGCTTTAATTTAAACAGTTTGTACTAGCAAAGATACTGATCCCTTTAGGCATACTTTTTTCCTCATCTTCCAGAGATTTTTTTTTTTCCTGCTTTGGCTACATATCCACCATTGTTGATTTTTCAAACTATAATCCAGATACTTCTTTTTCATGGATTCCCATGATCACCCAATTAAGAGCTCTTCTGTACTCCCCAAATTGAACTGATCTTCACAAGCACATTCATTTCTTCCTACTCTGAACAGTAGTTAATTAGGTTTTTGCTTTTTTTTTTTTTTTTTTTTTTAATCTCAGTTGCTTGAAAGTAGGATGTAGGTATTTGTGTCTGTGTTCACAACCAAAAATCTTATTTGAATTCAGGACCAGTTTCATAAGCATGTGATCTGTGCAGACACATGGAATCGTATGCTCTGCAGGAACCCATGCTAGATTCAATGCTCTGCTGTTGTCATCTTGGAATCCTTAGTCATTTTCAAACAAGAGATATTGTATTTTCATTTTTCACTGACACCACAAATTATATAGCTGATTCAATTTGAATGTAATATTCCTCAATAAATGTGGACTGAATAAATTTGTTGTCAGCTCAAGTGATGTTGTTTTACTCCATTCCCTCTCTGATATCTCTGCATCATTTGACTGTGCTCTTACTAAAACTCTTCCTATCTCCCTTTGTCTCTCACCAGAGGTGAAGGAGGCAGATGAATGCCTCAATCTGAGTGACTGGGATGTTAATGAATCTTCAGGGATATTTAGGAAAATAATAACATAAGGGCTATCTCCTTTCAAAGTTAGGACAGGTTTGAACTGGCATTCCTAATTCCCAGAGCTGTGTTTATCTATGCGTGTCTTTGTGGATGTGCATATTCATGGGAGAAATTCATATTTTGAGCAATTAGAAAGAGGACATAGGGTTTGAGCCAGAGCTAAGGTAATGAAGCAAAAGAGTGATTGGATGCCAGTTAAGCTACATGTTTGTTTTTGTATATTAGTCTGGCTTATTATTATTTACAGTTTATTTTTCTTTAGTTTTTATATGGATTCTTACATTTATATAATTTACTTCAATTGAGATACATTTGGTTGAGCCTACTGGAGAACAGGAATTTGGTAGAGGTGCAGTGTGTATATAGATGTCCAGTCAAGCCCTCCCTTAGATAGAATAATTGAACAATGTGTGCAGATTTCTTAGTGGAAGTTATAAACTTCATGCTGGCCATTTTCAAGTAATCAGCAAGGGTCCCATGATCACACATCCAGACTGCACTCTTACTCATGAACAACATATCGAGGACAGACTTTTCACTGTTGAGAGTCCATCACCTTCCATATGGCACATCCAATCAGTCTATCTACGGTCAGGCCACTAGAGTCCAGAGAGGAAGGCAGAATTTTAAAGGGTTGTTTGGAGCAACAAATGATGAAAGGTCAGGGTTGCATCACGTGGTGTAACTCTACAGCGGAGAGTTATAGTAATTCTCGAATTCCTGATCTGCCTCATGCTACCTTCTCTGGTCTCCTGTCCAATATTTTCCCCACTGTATATTATGCTTCTGTGACACTAGATTTTTTTCTGTCTCTTAGTTACGTCAAACTTTCACTTCAAGCGTCATACTCTGATTAGCCTAAGCAGCGCACTCCATCTCAGTCACATACTAGTCCAATTTATTTTGAATACTTAATTTAGTTGAAATTACCTTTTTATGTCTTCATGGTGTTTTTCATCTGAAATGTGAGCACTATAATATCCTAGATTTTATCCATCTTGATCACATTTGTATCTCAGTGCCTAGATTATAGCCTGACATATAGTGGGTGATTTTATAAAGTTTTGTTGAGTGGAAAAACGGGATTAAACTTTGACTTGCCAGAAGAGATTTTACCAGTGTCTATCTGATAGGCCATAGATTTTCAGGTACTGATATGTTTCCAAAGTGCTGCTGTCACTAAAGAAACCAGGTGAATCATAGATACTGTGCAAAGATGGTAAAATGGTCACTCTTTGAAGGCAAGAGCCAAGTTCTCTCTTTCCTTCAAGTCATTACCTTTACAAGTCTGCCAACAATCTAAGATACAGATAAAGCTTAGTAAGAAGGGAGGAGACCCCAGATCAGAATTCTCTGTACTATGAGTAGCAACCCCAGTTAATCACAAGTGCCACTTTGTTTTTTTCTTCTGTTGTATTTGGTGATCCCCATGGAACCGCTTAGGGACAGATGACTGTTGTCTACAGTGATTTTTAAGAAGCTCCAGGTTCTTGAACAAAGTACCTTAATGCATTCAAAGTCAATTTTTCACGAGGCCCTTTAGCTGAGAAGTGGGCATTTATTTGGATGAGGCACAAGCTATACCTCCTGGAGACCATAGATCTGGGCTGCCTGCACATATACATCCTCCTTCCCCATAAATTGACATAGAAGGGTCAAAAAAAGAGCCTGAGGACAAATAATTTTGTTATAAGAAGTATCAGCTCAATAGGACTTGAGGGAGTTTAAATATCAGTCCATAATAGTATCAAAGAAGCTGTGGGTCTTCCATGTAGTGTGGTAAACCTTTGGGCTAGATAATTTCATTATAACTCCTGGATGATGGAGTAAGTACTTAAGAGCAAAACATGTTGCTAAATTGCCCCAAGACAGAGATGTTACCCAGTACTATTAACCGCTTCATTCTGGCTGAAACTCTGGGACGTGAGACTTACTCTAGAAGACCAGGGTAGTTTTTTTTCAGAAGCTAAGGATACCAATTTCCATTCTCACCAAGTATAGAACAAAGAAGGTAATCTGCTTTGCTGACAGTACACATCTGGAGCTTTCTGCATTCTGTTGTGAACACAAATACAGTAGGAATGAGAGTAGGTAGTTTCGGAAAAAGATATGGAGGGGGTATTCTTGATGGTTGCTAAATTTCTCTACAAATAGCACTTATTGTTTGAGGGAGGATGCAGTGGGACTGGTGGAATCAGAATATGCTGGGGCCAAAGCCCAGAACAGTGCAGTATCCACATGCCCTGGATAAACCATGACCTAACCTGTCTGCTGTCTTCTATCTAATTAATGAGGTAAGCTGAGGATATGGAAGACTTGATAAGTAGAACAACATAAACTGAAACAGGGGTCCAGGCCTCCAAGTGTACCACCTGCAAATGAAGAAAGATGTTTATGCAGCACCCGCTCTGGAGCTAGTGTTCAGAGGAGGAGGAGGTATCATTAAAGGCACATGACTTCTTTTTCAGATTACGCATAGAAGGTACCTATAGAGTTTTAAAACTTTGACTTTACTCTTAAGGAATTAGAATTAATTCATAATCTTTCCTCATTAACCATTTTCTCTTTCTCACTTCCTTATGTAAATGGTTCCATTATCTTACTAGTTTCTCAAGATCCAAACTTTCTTCTGCTTGCTTCATGATTCTTCCTGAATAGCAAGTTATCAAAGCTTTCTTTATAAGTTCTCTTATGTTCCATTCCCTCTTCCTTGATCCTGACCCATGTGTGAACCCCACTGCCAAAAATGTAATGCAAATTACTAATCCCATTATCAATAATGCAATAAAGATCACATATTGAGCATGAGCTCTTATTATAGCAAATAAGAGAAGTATCTGTTTTACAGTTAAAGCTGATGGAATAATAAAAGTCATTTGAATGGGGCCTGCTGTAGGCCAGGCACTTTTCTCCATACTTTATAAATATTAACTCATATAATCTTCTTATCAGTCCTGAGCATATCATATTATTCCCATTTTATATATGAGGAGACAAAAGTCACATAATTAGTAAGTATGTAGGCAATTTTGCTCCAAAATCCCTGCTTTAACTATGACACTAAACATTCACTAAATAACTATTGGAAACTTGTTATGTGATAAATGCTATTATGGTAATGAAATGCATTAAAGACACAAAAATAAATTACCCTGTCCTCACAGAATTTACATTGGTAGTGGAGGGGCTGGAAAGACAGACAATAAGTAAACAAAAATATTATATTAAGGTGATGACATATTAAGATTGATAACTGAATCAGGGGAAAGGAATCAGAGAGAAATTATTTATTATTTCAAAATTTGTGGACAGAATGGGCCACTCTGAGAATATGGCCTTTGAAAAGGGAACTAAAGCAAGAACAAACAAAAAGTCATGCAGTATCTGGGGTAAGAACATTTCAGTCAAAGGAACTACAAAGAAAAGTGGCGTTGTAATGGCTGTTTTCTAAAACCTGTGAGAATTCCAGTGCAGATGAATTGGAGTAAGTGATAGGGAACATAGGAAATGAGGCCAGTGACTTAGAGTCAGATCACAAAGGGGCCTTATAGGCTATTGTACAGTGATTAAAAGCCATTGCAGGGTTTTAAATAAATGTATAACGGTTGTTAGGTAAAAGGAGATGAGTTCCGAGAAGCAGAGAGTAGAATAGTGGTTGTCAGGGCCTAAGGGGAGGAGTCAATGGAGAGATTGTGGTCAATGGGCACAAAGTTTCAGTATGTAAGATAAATAAGTTCTGGAGATCTACTGTACAGCACAGTGCCTATGACTAATAATGCTGTATTGCATTCTTAACATTTGCTAAGAGAGAACTTGTGTTTAGTGTTCTTACAACATACACAAAACATTACTATTACTAATAAAGAGGGTGTGAAGAGACTTATGGCTTTGATAGTGGTGATTATTATGGGCGTATACTTACCTCTATACTCATTGCATTATACACATTAAACATTATCTGCATTTTACATGTCAATTCTACCTTAATACAATGGTTAGCAAAAGGAGATGAGTTCTTAAACGCAAGTGTCACCTGGGTTTGCCATCTGTGACTACAAAATGGGACATGATTATATCTACACTCAAATTATGGTGATCCCAATCTGCTTATCTTCAGTAGTACAAACTTATCCTCACTAAAAGTGTGCCTCACCTGTGCTCA